AGTCACCTGGTTCCAAATTCAAAAGCTGTGAAAAGGTCTATAATGAAGAGTGTCCTTCCCACCCTTAATAAACTTTTTAAAAATAAACTTATTGTGGGGATCTTCAAACTTTTCAAAGTGGAGAAATGGCGTAAGGAAACCCACGTTCCCCCAGCCAGCTGCAGTTGGTGTCTTGTTACCAGTGTCCCACCGGATTCCTCCCAGATGAAGGACATCCTTTAAACAGGCTGAGCCTCTGTCTTTTGCAGCTGTTCTGACTCAGGAGACCCCGCCCTTTCATTGCATCGCTCTTGGGCTCCAGGTCGGAGCTTTTCCACGATGGCCGAGCCCTCTGATGTCCTTACCTGTAGCCACATGGGCCACTGCTCTTCCGTTGCTCCTTTCCTTTCTAAAGAGTGTCGTCTTTCCCAGTCTTCATGCCAAGCACTTCGCAGGTGTGCCCATGATTCCACCACAGTTTCTGCTTGGTAGTAAAGGGCCCAGTAGGCTCTTTCTAGAGAACCTCTTCCAAGAGTTTTTATGAAAGGACAGGGCGTAGCAAAGTATAAGGAGCTGAAGGTTTAATTCCCGGAAGCTGAGGACTCTGGGTCTGCTTTTATTGCTCAGAGCCCCTGTTGAGTTCCCTCCTGCGCAGGATGCCGGAATTGGAGACTCTGGAGATCGTGAAGTTGGTGAACTGCCCGGAGACCTTCACCCCAGACATGAGGTGCATCATGGGCGAGTCTCCTTTGGTACAGGGCTACTTCGTTCTGGCGGGAATGAACTCTGCTGGACTTTCGTTTGGTGGAGGAGCCGGAAAGTAAGTCTGTCACCCCCAGACTCAGCTTGCTGGGCTGCTTTCTTTCTAGAATTATTTGTTAACATACTAGATTTAAGTGTATTACGTACCGTAAGAAGAAGGTACATGTAATTTGAGAGTTGTTCCCTTCAAAGCAATCACCATGGGAGGCTCTGCCGATCTTCCTGAAATGTCACTGTGCAAAGTGTTCTTGGAATTCCTCTTTTGGAGTTAGCCACAGTGTCACTCTGGGATATTCTTGTGTATTCTTTCAGCTGACAAATGTTGGTCAGTCATGAAACTGATACTAAAAGTAGTAGGTTTGGAAGACAAGATGAGATTGTTATAGAAACATTAGCCTACATTATGGATTCCTGGATGTAGTAGCTCAAAAAGTAGTTGGATAAAAAAGTCCAGTGACTAAATCTGTGGGTGAAAGCTTAGTATTGCAAAGGATCCCTGACTGCTTCTCTCAGATAATGTCCTTCTCTCCCTCACACGTGACCAGGAATGCACACACTCCTGTTTCCCACATAGACAGGGCTCATAAGGTACATCAGCAATAAGTCAAATCCCAGGTTCTTACTATGAAGTCAGCTGTAATATAGGATGTCAGATCCAATGTCAGCCTTAGTAAATTCACAAGGAGGAATGGAGGCCGTCTCTCCCCAGCCAGGCCACCTCAGCATGGACAGTAACATGGTGCCTGGCACTACTTTACCACAGTTTCCAAATTCTTTTTTACACTTTGGTAAGACTGGTATAGTTATGTACTGTGTCTTTTGTGATGGCAAACACATACTGGGTTACCACTGCTGAAGAATATTTCACAAGCAGAAATGGCAAGAGCAATTAAAATGTCCGTTTATTCATTAACAAACCAGGTAATACACACACACACACAAAAATCACAAGTGGAATCTGGCTTGATCAGAAAACCATGCACAGCGTTAACACTGTGTGCACGGAGGGCAGAAATGCTCGGTCACCCTGTGTGCCTAAAGCATCAGGGCTCTTGACAAAAGGTCCCATTCACCTACGTGCATTGACCGTCTTCAGGACCACATGTTAACTTACACAGGGACAGAAAAGGACTGAACAGGACTGCACAGTTACAAATGCAAATAACGAGTTATAGCACTTTACAGTAATTACAGTGGCGCTTTGATACGTCCCAGTAGTTGGCCAGAGAGTAAGGAGTGAACTGTCCAGCTAGAAAACCCTTCATTGAAACGAGGTGTGACAGCTTCGTACCCTACACCCACCTGCTCTGGGAAGCAGAGGCTGTGAGGGGTGATGGGAACCCTCACACTGAAATGGAGTTAGTTTCTTTGTTGTCCTTCCTCTCTCTACCCACCAAGTGACGTTCTGGGGTTTAAGGCACAAGAACCCGGCGTGGAGAAAGGGGGTGCTCTGAGCGCCAGTTCTCGGTGTGCAAGGAATTCCTGGCACAGAGATTTTGAAACATGCTAAAAATATCCGCCCCACCTCTTGTCATTTCTGTCCTTGAGAGACAGAAAAAGGAGAAGGCAGAAGGTTTCAAAGGATAAAAATAGCTGCATCTAAATGAGACAAATGGCCCATGAGAAATGTGTAATTCTCCAAGGAATGCAGACTGCTCAGAGAAGTCAAGAATCATATAAAGAACAACTGGTGTTTAATGGACAAAGAGAAGGCAAAGACATATAAAAATACTCAGTCCCCCTGAAAAATAGTGCATCTGTAGTGATGAGGGACTGCGAATGCGAGCCCCTTACCGTGAAGGAGCCTTACAACTCAGCACCTGAACGTGAAGGCGGAGGAGACGCTGACGGGCAGGCCCACGGCCCGGTCACAGCTCACCGCCGGTCACTGTGGGTAATGCCTGCAACATGTACTTCATCTGCCCTAGAACATCTACTTCAACTACCACATCTTCCACTCAGCTGTGCTTCTCCTGACTCCCTGTACCTGCAAGGGACATGTGAGATAGACATTCTTTTCTCACAATTTCTCCTATTGATAAACTAAAAAATTGAAAATTTCCCATTAATAAAATGCTGCTTCTATCAAAGTTTGTGAAAGACTGGGAGGAAGGGGAGAGTGTGCAGCAAGAAAATGAAATGAGGTTATTCTTCAGTATTACGCACTGTCGACCAACTCTCTATCTGAGATACTGAAGAGGATCCTTGCTGACTACTGGCCAAGAAGCAACAAAGAGCGAAAAGTGAAACCTGTAGCTCACTTCTGACGGCAAACCAGTTCAGTCTTTCTGCTAGGACCCAGGCTTCCAGGGTCAGAACCAAGACCACAGGTCATAGAAGATTCCCGTTTATCTGCCTCAAGTTCTGAAAGAGTGAAGATTCACTCATGCCAGCAAATGTGTCCAGGAGCCAGAAGTCAAGGCGCTGAGTCATCTCTTCAGGGATGCCAAACCACTTTTATAAAGCAGCTAACACTCCTGCCCCGCAGGTGGTAGGGGAGATTAATACTGCGTAGGCAGGTAATGGAGGAAACGGAAGTGTTATTTTGTACATTTTACTTTCTTGGAAAGAACAGCCTAGGAAAGAAGGGACACAGGAAAACTCTTGGTCTGCACAAGGTTATAGAATCCAGGGACATCACGCCCCCTGACGAGAAAGTGTGCTCTACTCCTGCAGAAATGGGATCTGAGTCCATAGCCTGAACAGCAGCTCACATCTGGGGGTACAGGGACTCCCCAGAACACTAGAAATGTAGTTTTCACTTCTTTCCTAGAGCCTGTCCTGCCTGTGCAGTCTATGTGACTGCAACGTAAGTTAAAGGACATAAACGGGCTACCCAAGGGGGGAGTTTCTGTCCCATTTGGCTCTTAACACTTTTTGAATTAGAGCTTTTCTGACTTCAGTGACATTGTGGACAGGAAATCTTTCTGATGCAAGCTTCAGTGAAAGTCAAACAACCGTGGCAGTGCCAAGAAACAGGATTCACATGTGGCATAAGTAACTAGGGGCTGAGATATTTCAAGGGAGAAGGCCCACAGGAGACTCGCAACCCTGAGTCTCATCTGTTGAGGTTCACACACTTTGTGTTTCTAGGTTCAAAAAGATTCTTCAGTTGAATATGCTGACGACAGGACAGCAGAAGCATGCAGAAGCCCCCTCCCAAGACAGCACTTCAGTGAGAAAAGAACCCATCACGTAAAACTGAAGTCTAGCCACCCAGTTACAAGAGTCCAGAACACCTTGGAATCTTTAGAGAAAGGTGAGTTGTTTCACAAGGCAAACACTTGTGAGCCCACAGCCCAAGAGATGGAAATGACACATGAATGAGATGTTCTGATTGTCAGTTATGTGAGAAGAGGGAGTCACCTCCTTCAGAAAACTACTAGATTCACACTGCTTCTATATGAATGAACCAAGAGACTTCAAGGATGAACTTTAAAGTGCAGAGCGATAAATGCTTCGGGGCCCCCAGTAAGTAAGTGGTGCCCCAGACGAGTGCCATCTCACCAGTCTTAGGAGTGTGTCCCCTGCCTACAGACATGAAATTTATGCATAGCCCTAGAATTTCTTCTAGATTCAATCCCAAGTAAATTTGCAGTTACAAAGATGACTTTGGAATGGTGCCGAGCGTGGGATACCTTTAGCTCTACCACCTATGTCCATCTTCCTGGAGTAGCTGGCTCCCTGCTCGTAACACTGGCATTGGCCAAGTGCTGTTTTCTGCGAGGCCGTCACAGTTGCTGTTCACTGCTCTGCTCTCCAGTTGGGTGACACCGCTCCCTGCCTAAAAGCAACATCTCTCAGCTGGTTAAATACGCATTTGCACCAAAATGAGGAAGCCCCCCAACAATTCTAATCACATGCTCCCTTAATAAATCAACTAAGTGTGGTCTGGCTAGGGAAATGGCAAGAAATGTCTAAAAGAAGCCCGTCTGCTTGGGTAACAAATGCCAAATGCTCACTTGAGAATTTTAAGTTACTCTATTAAAGTGAGAGGATCTTCTTTAATATATTTGTGGACCTATCAGAGCTAATGCTTCTAAGATACCAAGACAACAAAGGCTACAGTAAGTTTAATTAGCTAAAATCTCTTAACAGCAGTTTGCACTTTAAAAAATCAGATTAGGGCAGCGTATGTGCAAGGGAAAGTTAAGTGTTGGGATGGATATGTAAGTGTCACCCTTAGAAAACAGACACCATCGAATTGTGCAGAGCCCTCCTGGGGGCCCCAAGTCACTTTCTATTCTAGAGGATACGGACAGATGGCTCGATGGGGAAAGGACGGAAAGCAGTCTGCGAGGTGCATGTAACGCATGCCCTCCACACTCAGAACTCTGGACTCGCATGGGTCACCCATGTGGATCTATCTGTTCTGTGCCAGAGGAAGCGGAACTTGGGATCCCAGTAGCTGTCTTGAAGTCAGCATGCCCAGCAAGGTTTGCTTACTCGATCAGGACAGCCTGCCCCTCCCTTTCCTACAGGGAGAGAAATGTTTGCTGAGCTAGTGGGCCTGTTGCTACAGAGACAGGTGAGGCTGAATTGATGAGGAAAATCAAAATGGGGTGACTGAACTTTGTGTAGCTGGAAGAAAAGCAGCACTGTTTTAAAGAAGAACACTCAGCATTGTTTAGTGTTGGTCCTTTCTGAGGTCAGACCCTTTCAGCTGGGAGAAGCAACACAAAAGGCAACCTGGTTTTTCCCTTTCAAATACTGTGGCTTGTTTATTTAGCTAAACAAACCCCTCATCAGAGATTAACGAGAGATGAAGACAATCATAGGCAGGTGGCCCTGGCCCTACTGAGAACTGGGACCTGGTTCTGTAGGAGTGCGGGGATGGTGCCAGGTTAACTATTTTTTCTCTGCTATAGACCAGGTAACATCCACTAATGCCCCTCATCAATGAGGTAGATGGTCGTAGTCGTGCTAGAGGTATCGGGGTGCCAGCCCAGCACAGTGGAACAGGAGCATGAGCTGCTGAAAGGCACAAACTCCCACAGGGCTGTATCAAACATACAGCAACCCACCACAGTTAACAGGTTACTCAAGAAGACAGTCCCACAGAGGTGCACTCTCCCTGAGGCCGGCACACCACCAGCTTCCTCTGCTTCGAGACACAGCATGTGAAATCAGACTGTCACCATAACCTACTTCCACAAGTGGAGCCTGCTGCTGTCCCGCCTATCAGATATGCTTCCTCTCACCACAGGAATCGGGTGGAGGGATGGGACAGATGGCCCATAATGAGTATCAGGAGATGGGGAACTACAAAGGGAGGAGAAGATGGAAGGACAAGAGAGGTTGCAAAGCAAAAAGTTTAAGAGCCAGAAGGCAACGGTTAAACCAGGAAGAGAGAATATCAAGAGAGAAGCTCCTAAGACAGGAAGGAGGTGAGACTGCCTAGCATTATTTCCCGTGCAAGTCACTTAGCTCCATGTCATCCTTTCGGCGCCTATGGGTGAAGAGGGAGGCGACCGGGTAGAGCTTGGCCTTGGCCTGGAACCGATGCCCCGCGATGTCAATCTCATACTCGCCGCGGTTGATGAAATCTGCTGTCACCACCTGCTCTTCCCCAGTGTCCTCGGAGAAATTGTGCACGAAGCCCAGGCAAACGTGCCGCTCCAGAGTGTAGCTATAGGCACTGCTGGTGGTCTTACCAGCATACTGCCCGTTTCGGTAAATGGGTTCTCCCCACCAAGGCCAGAGGTCCAGGTCTGTGTTGTGGTCATCCAGGATGAACATAGTGAGGCGTTTGTACACCCCATTCTGCTTCTGCTGCAGCAGGGCCTCTCGACCGATGAAATCCATCCCCTAGGAAAGAAGAGCAGCACTGAGACAGCGTCTACACTCTGACTCAGCATGCGGGCACACGGTAAGGGTCCCCTGGTGTCACCGCAGTGGAACGCAGTGCTCTTCCCCCACACTCCTGCAAGCTTTGGGGAAACTGTTTCCCACTGTGTGAATATAAGACACGTTCAGAGAATGTTTGCAACAACACAGGTACTCATTTTTCTTTTTCCTATTTTATAAACAGATTTCCACCACAAAACCACATAGAGCAAAAATATTTAGGAAGAAAAATCAATACAAATACTTGTTAGAATTTTTTAAACAATGTTTTTATATAATCCCAACAAAATCTAGGCATATATATCTGTATTCAATGTATTCAATATATGCACATGTACAAAAACAAGAGCAGAGTAAAATATTACCTCTGATTAGATAAAATTCTTTTAATTTTCTTCTGTATATTTTTCCATTTTCCAAAATGAGTATTCATTATTTTTGTACCAGAGAAAAAATAGTTATAATTGCTAAAAAAAGAATACTGTAGATCTACTGTACAAATAGGGAGTGATTGCTGTTTTAAGTGAAAAAAGCAAGGAGCATTAGAGCAAGTGTGTAGTATCCAACCATCTACGTTAAAAAAAAGTGGCCAGAGGAAATTATACGCTCATCTGTTTGCACTTCACTGAAGCTCTTTAAAAGGAGAGACAAAGTGCTTTTTCTGGCAGAGGGGGCAATGAGATGGGTGGGGTTCAGAGGTGGAAAAGAGACTTAACCGAACATCCTCTTGAAATGTGATTTTTTTAAAAAAATCACGTTACTATATTACTTTCAAAAGAAAAAATTAGGCAGTTGAATGTAAGGTAACTAATTTGTACAAATAATCGTGGCACATTAATTAATGTATCACCATAATCAACTCAGAAGAACTGACCAGAGAGCACTCATTCTAAAAGAGAACAAGTGTTATCCAGTTACTGTTTCACATTAGGATGTTTTATCCCCTAGATACACTTTTTCATATTTTTTTTTTAGAGACACTTTTCATTCTAAGGACATCCTAATCGTCACTGTCCGCCCGATGCCACCCCCAAGGTCTCAATACTCTCACACTTTTGCTTCCACATCAGCTCTTCTTCCTGCTCTAGTGCAGATTCCCCGCTCAGGAAGTGGACGGACAGACACAGTACCTTCTCTAACTTCACCCGAGACTCGCGTCCACATTCCAGCGGGGTGGTGAGGGTATTTAAATCCTGACCCCAGAAGGCAAAAAACTTCTCAATTCGGAGACTACGAAGAGCATAATACCCAGCATTCCGGATTCCGTATTTCTGCCCAACACTCATCACTTCATTGTACACGTGCAGGGCGTACTAGGAGGAGAGAAGAGAGGTTAATAAGCGGCGGGCCTTCAGCTTTAGCATGGAGCATGTCTGCGGTGCCTGGTGCTGACACTTTTAACCTGGCCGGAGGAGAGGGTTGTATAAAATTCTCAGGATGAGTTCTCCAGCCCAGCAGTAATGAACTGGGGTCACCCTTAACCAAGACTTAGCTCCATGAAAGCAGCATCCATACTTTTTCACGTCTCTAGAATGTCGAGAAGAGTGGCCTATGCACTATATGTAGCAATCAGTGAATAGTAACTCATAGAAGCACTCTCACCACCCAGGAAATGACCAGTCCCGGAAGTGCTTTCCAGATTGCCCTGTCATCCTCCACCGGCTTTGTTCTAGTTCTGGCTTTGTTCTCTCTCCAATTCTCGAACACTGTCCTTCCCTTTTGCGCGGGCTCATGCTATGAAATGTGTTACGCGTCACTCCACATGTGTGTGCACATCTGATTTTTCACACAGATTATGGCATATCAAGAGACCCAGAACGAGTCATGGAGGAGCTAGGAAAGCCGGGCTCTTCTAACAGCAGCCCACGACATCCGGCCTCTCACACTGTTCTTCTCTTGGTTCCAGAAACATGTAAGTATCATATATTAACAGAAAGCTTTCCAAATTGAAAGCAAAATAGTCAGTCCTTATGTGAACATACTGTTAAGTCTAAGCCCAACAAAAGACTACACTGTTTGAAAATCTATAAAACTCAAGACAAGACAGAAATAAAACAGAAAAACAAAATACTGTATGATCTCACTTATATGACAAATCAAAACAAACAAACAAACAGAAAAACAGATCAGATTTGTGGTTATCAGAGTGGAAAGTGTAGGGAGGGGGCACTAGAAGAAAGTGGTCAAAAGATAAAACTTGCAGTCATAACTAAGTGTTAGTGATGGGACATACAACATGATGGCTGTAGCTAACGATGCCATATGATATACAGGAAATTTGAGAGAGTAAATCCTAAGAGTTGTCATCACATGGAAAAAAAATTTTTTCACTTTGTTTTTACTACAGTATAAGATAATGGATGCTAACTTGTGGTAATCATTTCACAATATATGTAAGTCAGTCCATTATGTTACACACTTTAAACTTAATACAGTGATGTATGAAAGGAATTATTTGGTATTATTTGAGCTTCATTGGTATTATAATTCTTTATCCTAGCAGTGTATGTTGCTCTGTAGATGGCACTGCTGCAGCTGAACACGAATCTACTGAACTGTGGTCAAGATGACTTTAAAAGTGGGAAAGGGGAAGTGAAGCGACTGAGGGAACACGCGGCCTGTGGCCTGTGTGCGTGAAACGCCTGGACTGGCAAGGAAAGGAGAATATTTAAGAGCCTCTCTGGGAGGTTCGGCACCTTTCTGTCCCAGCTGAATATTCTACTTAAGAGGAAGGCAAAAGGGGAAAGATTTAAAGCAGGTGACGAGTCTTGGGCTAGATGAGAAGAGCAAAAGGACAGTGGGGCCCTACCACATACTCAAGCTTCTCACTAAATGCTGGGGATTTCATGTGAACAAAACAAGAATCTGTCTGCCACTAGATTCTGGAAGACATCGCCTCAGAGACAAGTATTAGCTTCTTGAGGACAAAAGCCAGCTTGAAAAGAACCCAGGCATGGCACAGATTACCTCAAGGAAAAAATCACAAGAGTGGGACCGGTCCAGGAAAATCAGAAGGCAGAAGAAACCAGGGCCTCTGAGTAATGAAACTGCTAGAGCCACAGAGCCTCCCTTTCCTGATGGAGTTTGGCCAGTCAATGACCCGGGCACCCAGGTGTAACACCTGAATGACCGTATGGCACTTCAGAATTAATCCCTGTCTGTGCAGGCAAACAACTACATTTTTATCAACTCTTAAATCGTGAATACTCCATCTTGCTATTGTTATAATATTTCTGATTGTGGAAAAGCAAATGAAATTTCATAGGCTGATAAATTTGTGCTTCATTAATAATTAAAAGAAAACCTAATATTATGAGTAATATGACTAATGTCAAGAACAGGACAAGGATGCCTACGATTACTGCTACATGTCACAACTGGACAGGGCAAGAAATTTATATGAATAAAACTTGTTAAAAATAAGAAAAACTTACTATTTGTATATGATAAGATTGAACCCTGGAAATTCCAGAGAATCAACTAAAAAAATAATTTAGTAAGGAATTAGGTTAAAGAATATACAGAAGAACATAGCTTTCATAAATCATAATCACTTAGAAGGTAACAGAATAAAGACTCTTCCCATTCACAATAGTAACAACAAAATATTCAAATAAACTTAAATGTAAAACATCTATATAAGGAAAACTTCAAAATACCTCTGAAGGTCGCAGAAACTTGAAAAATAAAACGTATAATTAGGGTGTAAGATTCAACACATCATAAGAATGTCAATTCTCCCTAATTTATAAATGTAACAATCTCAAGTAGTGTTATTTTAACTATATGAATATATAGTTTATAAAGGAAAAATAAGGAAATAGGAATTTTTTTTCTTTTCTAGAATTTTCCAAGCTATGAGGAAGGATGAATACTTCTGGATATTAAGATATATAATAAAGAATCAGTAATTAAAAGTGCAATTCTGGATAATGAATAGGTAGACCAAGAGAACAGAGTAAAACAGTCCAGAAGTAAATCCAAATACATATAGGAATTTACTACCTGATAAAGGTAGACTCACATTAACTGATTACCCATGTGGAAAAAAATTTGATTCATATAAAGTACGCCAAGGGACACAAAGGATGGAGCATTTAAACACTAAAAAAACAAACCCATAAACAACAACTACACAACCTATAAAAGCATCAGAAGAAAATGAAAAATTTTATAGCCCTGGAATGAAGAAGGCCCTTCTACATATCAAATTCTAGAGGCCAAAAAAAAAAAAAAAGACTGATCAAACTACATTAAATTTTTTTTTCTGCAACATATGAAACACTTTTTCCAGATAAAAATTAAATTTTAAAAATCCTCCTAAAAACACAACAAATCAAAAGACAAACGGCAAACTGGAAAAAAAATTACAACTTAAGAGCAAGGATTGTCTGTTCCAGAGAATGCCTAGAAATTGGTTTAAAAGGCCAATAATACAAAAACGAACAAAGGATGTGACCAGAATATTCATTCTTTTACTGTGTGTCAAGTACTCCTCTAGGTGCTGGGGCTCTAAAAGTTAAAACAGACAAATATCCCTGCCCTCAGGGAACTTACATCTAAACGGGTAATCTAATGAACAAAATAAAATGTTTTCCTAGGTGGTAAGCATTATGCTAGAAAATAAAACAGGGAAGGAGGACAGAGGGAACTGGGAGGGGGCGGGGCTGCAACGTTCAGGTCGCATCAGGAAGGTGACATGTGGATAAAGACTTGAGGGAGGTACGGCTGTGAGTCTGGGAGTACCAATGCGGGAGGAAGACACGCCAAGGGAAGAGGAAAGGCAAGTGTAAAAGACCTGAGGCGGAAGCAGTCAGGCATGTTCAGAGACATGTCAGATAAGATCAGAAGAGAATGGGTGTAGATTCGGGAGGCAGGACTGTGTAGGCCCTGTAGATGGGCTTTAATTAGAGGTGGATTCTGAAAAATAGCTCAATTTCAAACACAAGGGAAATTAAAACTGTACTGACAAACTGTTTCGCACCTATCAGCCTAAAGTTTGACAACTCCATGTGTTGGTACTTGCAGTAAGGAAAAACACACTCTTGTACACTGCAGAATTCTTTATAATAGCAAAGGACAGAAACACCATAAATGTCTGTTAGTATCAGACTGGTTAAATAAATTATGATTCAACTATATGATGGAATACTACACCACTGTTAAAAAAAAATAAAGGAAAAAAGAAAGAGGAAGGTCTCTTTATGTATTCCTAGGGGAAGATTTCTAAGATAAATTAAGAAAAATCAAGATGACGAACAATGTGCTTCTGTCTGTGTTTCTAAAGAAAGGGTTAAGACTATGTCTTTGAACTTGCTTCCATATGCACAAAATCTCTGACATGACATATTAAAAACTAATATAAAAAAAACTGGTGGTGGTTGGTAGGAACTGGTCAGGTGGCACTAAATATTTTAAACCATGTGAATATATTATCTATTCAGAAAATAATTAAAATCTTTTTACTGCAGCCTACTCAATTACCAAGGCCCAATCGGATGTGCTCAGCAGGTGGGGGACAGCCAACACACCATCCTCCCTGCTCCTCACCTCTATGGGGATGTAAAGCATGAAGCCCGGCTCTCCTGTGTGAGTCATGCTCATCACCCGGATCCCATTGGCATAGCCCACACTCATCTCCTGTGGGAACAAAGGGAGACAGTCAGCATCAAAACCCCTCGAGGGCAGTGGGCACACTCCACGTGTTTGTTAAAGGAATGCCTGAGGTAGGCCCCTCGTTAGCTCTGCTTCCTTTGTTTGACCCTAAAGGAGAGACCAATGAATGAAAGAATTTCATCCTCAAAATGGTCCTTCCTTTGTTTGACCCTAAAGGAGAGACCAATGAAAGAATTTCATCCTCAAAATGGTGTTTCGAGGTACTGAGGTCATCAGGAACGCAGCGCAGCCTAATTTACAGTATCTCTTCTCACGAGTACCATCGTTTTAGGAGTGCTTCCCAAGCTGCTGGTGGGAAGCAGAGGCAAAGTCTTTGCCAAGCATGGAATTTCTTTTTGCTAAGTCCTGCTTAAGATTTGTTTTAGTCAGGGGTATCAGGAGCAATGAAGGTCAGGCAAACGTCTTCTCTGGGGAACTCGGCAGGCAAGTCCTGGGCACTACCCACAAAAGATGCCTGATGCCTAGAGATCACAGCTTACCTGCTACCCTGGGGTCAGAGACCAGGCTTCTAATGGTCAAACCCTGTTCACAGCAGCTCCATTAATTAACAGGCTCTGACTCAATAGTGATTCCAACAAAGTAAAGTGCTAAGTCCCAGGTGGCGCTAAAGCAGAGTTTCCACAGGAAGCCCAATATCATGTGGTACTCTGCAGACACACATGTGGATCACGCCTTCCAGAAGCAAAGAAAATCCTGTGAAGGAGTCTGCTAATGGCTAACAGTGACTTTTCTGTTGTTTTCACTCTGCTGTGGAAAAAAAGGGGAACTGTAAAAGCGATTAGTAGGCGGATCTCAACTTTGGTTTGAACCTCAAAGAGCTTCCATCAGTAACTGTCCCCAGGCTGCTTGTTACAGGTTGACAAAACGTCTGTTTGGACCTCTGATCGGCCACTTGCTAGAGAGTATTCAGTTATTTCTTTTATTCAGTTCCAATTTGTTTTACTCAGCTATCATTGCCAAGTATGAGAAAGAAAATTATATAAGTTGTTTAGGGTTTTACCTAAACCATTTCTTACCCGAAGATGCCACATACAAGTTACTCTGTGTATGAAAGAGAGGAAGCACTGCGTGGAGAGAAGGGACCTGGCCTTGACTGGCTTTTTTTTTTTGGCATCAGTGTCATAATCCTATAATTTAAAATTTTAATCTACTGCTACAGAAAATAGTAAATATACAGAACTGATATTCGGAGAAGTTAAATCCACTTCAAAGATATCCTAATGCTTATTAAATAAGGACCCCATGAAGAGTAAAAAATCAAGAAATGAATTTATTCTGTCACTCTGTCTGCTTAATAAAAGTCAGAACACATTTTGTGGGTGTTAATGCCATAGTAAGAACATGTAATTGCCATCTGTATAAAAGAAGTATTCTCTGCCCACTTAAAAACTAGAACTTTAATAGCACCCACCTTGCAAAAGAGACTTGGGAAGTGGTCTGGAGTCATAGGGGCATAAGACAGTTCGGACAGCACATCCACAGCTCGAGGACCAATCAGATTGAGAGCTAAACAGAAAAGAACAAGAAATGTCTGGCTACTCCAGGTGAACAGCTGAGCCACCAGTAAAGGTCTGTTTTGGACTTGCTCACATATGGCCAGGCCTGGGTGGCGAGATCATGAAAAGCATGCCTTTGCTTAGGCAATCCAAGGATGGGCAGCACACCCTTAGTCCGGCCAATACACCTCTCCTGACAGGCCTGCTAAATTCAGCTGACTGCTGGCATGAGCCTGGCTAGTGTAGCCTCCGTTAGTTATATAGGATCATGAGACCAAGTCCTGGCCAGTGGGGCAGGATCCCACTTCCAGGGCCAGTCACAATTCCCCTGCACAATTCACATTCCTCTCCTCTTCCCATGATAGCTACATGATAGAAAAAGCCCCAATCCCAAATCAGGACCAGGAAAGGTACTCAGCCACCCCAGAGTCTGTTATATTTGTAACAGAAGCTTGTGCTAATTACGTAACAACTATCCTCACGTGGGCTGAAAACAGCTTTGGTTCAATGAGATTCAGTAGTTTGCCAATCTGGTAGCAAGTTAGTCATATTTGCTGCTACGAATTGAGAATGAGGGCCTGGTGGGGTGAGGGGCAGGAGTCAGTTAAGTGGGGCAAGGAAGGGGTTAGACCTAGAATGGGCTGACAGAAGAGAAGGGCTGCTCCCCTGACAAAACTGCTGAGATAACCAGGAAATTTAAGTCATCTGTAAAAAGTATTCACTCATTAAAAGGGGAGGGGGGGGTTGGAAGAAAATAATACTTGGGTAATAAATATAAAAATACTTTTAAAATGATTTACTCATTCGTTCAAAACTATTTGCACTCCTACATGCTGGCTGTAGGGAGCACAGCGATGAACAAAACAGAAACTGAAGCACTAACTTATTCCACGCTTTACTTATAAAACTCGGGGAAGTATTCGAGATCAATTTTCTAAGACCAGAGAGCTTCTTCCAGGGCTTCTAATTCTGACATTCACTTTTGAATGTCAGATATAACAAAGGCAAATGGAGAAGACAAATCTGGATCTGCTGGCCACCTTACCAGTGTATTTCCAGGTGACATCCTCCAGAAGCAGGTTGCTGTCTTCCGGCATGTGTTTCTTAAGCCAGGCCCAACAGTGGACCTGCTGGTCAGTTGGAGAAATCATGAAGAAACTGGAAGTGAGACCCAAAAGTAATCAAAACCAGGCAGCAGAAAAAGGATCAGAAAACAATCAAGTTCTCAGCTGGTTTTAAAGCAATGATTATAATGCTGGCAAATGAGCTCTTAGCTTTCAGAGAGGACCAGTAGCACATAATTCTAGGATATACCACATAAGGACAAATGGAATATTCTAGCTTCCTGCTACTGCCAAGAAATTACACAGACCTACTAATAAAAGAGAAGGCGTCTTCTCCTATTAGGGTAACTAATTTTTCTGTATCGAGTTTTACAGAATCTAGTGAGTTTTTTCCCTAGTGATTTCTTTCTGCAACAGACTACTAGTGAACTGACCATGAGTTAATGAAATGGTTTTATCCTTGGTATAGTTATGGTTTCCTGGAAGAGGACTGGGTGCGCTGCTCTGTTGCACCCTGAGGAACCAGTGCACAGGCGGGAGCAGAGCGGGGCGGCGGTCGACCTCACCTGCGCTTGTTCAGGCGTGCTATGCTGCAGTCATTTTCATATCCTCCTCCCTCATTGAGCATGCCAGTATGTACGATGTGGCCCACGGGCACGTCAAGGTCATTGGAGAAGAGGTACTGTAGAATTTCTAATGCTTGATCTCCAGTGGACTGTGGGGTTAAGGAACCAAGCAGAGAGAGCACAAGAGCATTTGGCTGGGTAACACGGCCTGATGAGCAATGTGAGTTGCTGAAAAAAATCACTTAGCTAGTACTCATGCAACAATATTTGCAGATTCAGACCACTGCAAGAAGCTGCAGAGGAAGCTAGCTATGGATTCTAATAAATGAGCCTATGTAAGCAGATTAAAAACCAGAAACAAAGAGCTAAAAATTCAGAAAAATGTAATAAAGATGACATTAAAATAAAGCAGAGTTCTTACAGAATCAGTTTTGAAGTGACAGATGAAAAAAATGTAAATATGTAAAGTTTCCTAGTCTGTTTTGTTGGTTCTGAAATACTTACTGTTATTTCAAACTTTGTGAAAGAGGACATGTCAATGACACACACAGCTTCCTTACAGCACTTGACTTCAGACTCCACAATTTCAAACCAATCTGGCTTATAAAAAGTCTTGCTCTGCTCTAATGCCAGGAGGTCTGCAGAACAGAAAAAACAAAAGAGAGAAAAGGAGGGGATTTATACTGAGGAGTCTCCCTGTACAGTTCAATGTAGTATAAGAGGTTTTATTCGTTTATTCTTCCAGGAACACAGTCTAGCTGTATACATTTAAAAATAAATTTTATTTATTCTCAGAGCAAAAAAAAAAAAAAAGAACAAAACTGAGAGTGTGCCTTTTTACCCTTGCCTGGTGGCACAAAGTACTTTGGCCTCTCGAATCCGTGTTTCTCCATCCACCTGGCTCCTTGTGCATCCAGCCGGTCATAGAGAGGAGATGTGCGCAGCTGCCTCCCTGTCTGGAAGTCCCAACGAGGAACCTTCAGATCACACAGCAGAGCTAGAACAGATAAGAGCATGAATGCCCAAGCCACAGAGCTGAACATCTAACATCCACTGGGCTCTGGAGTTGCGCCTATTCAAAAGAACATTTCCAGGCTAATAGAGCCTACTTTTCCAAATGGTACCCAGTACAGCAGGCATGCTCCACAAGAAAGAATAATATTGCAAGAGCTGGTATCGTCCCTCCGTAGTTACATAGCTATGAGTCACATAATGACTCTAGGTTTCTGTTCACGGCTACTGTCCCAATGGCAGAAAGTTTAGAGTTCTAAACTTTGCTAAACTCCAGAGCAGAGATGAAGGTTATATCTAAGTAGGTCACAAATGGTTACAAAATGTGAAAAAATGGCACTTAGTTCTTTATAGTACCTGTGTTGTTGGGACCTCAGAACTGTATGGACATTTCCTCTCTAATATTTAACCCATTTCTAAAGTGAAAGGGCACACAGCATACCTTGCTTTGGTGACTCTGAAATCTGACAGATTGCCTAGTACTGTCCCAGTGACATAAGGTCAATTCATTTCTCCTAATGTCCAATCTGCAACAGCAATGAAAAAATAGCC